GCCCCCCCCCCCCTCCCCCCCTCCCCCGCTGTCCTTCCCCCCTACTAGAGGTCTTGATGTGTGTGTCGTTCCATACGTGCTGGACATTGATCAAGTCTTCACACATCTTTGGCATTTTTTCTCGACGCATCAGCCCGGGGATTAATTACATACTGCTGTTGGAGGAACACTGCGCAGGATTGTTTTTTTCTCTCTATGTACAACACCTTCCTTGCGTGCCGTTCTTGCCTTCGTTTTTTTCTTGCTGCTTTGCAAGCATAGAATATCGTCGATCACAATTTGCAGAGACGATGCTGAACAGAAGGTCTACGGTTGTCAGACTGCGGTCACATGCGGTCTTGAGCGCACCCTTCTTGGCGCAGACGCGAACCCTGCCGATGTGTGTTCTTTTTTTGCTGCGCAGACCGACGAGGACGGAGAGGACAGTGACGATGACGATGAGGCCACTCACGACCCAACCGCCGATGGATCGGAGGTAGTTCATTTTCTTGTTCCGTTTGGAGTTGTAACTGCTAATTCCTCCATTTTAGTTTCCCGTTTTATTGTATTCTCACTTACAAATATTATTGAACAAATCCATCTCGTAATTACTACTGCTGCTACCGCTGCTGCTACCGCTACTGCTACCGCTACTGCTGACGCTGCTGCTGACGCTGCTGTCCTACGAGCAGGTCGGAGGACACACCGGCGCCTCCCGGTCCTCGCAGTACTCCGACGGGGGCACCACCGTGAGGTCGGTGGGCAGCACGGCCACCGGCGGGGAAAGAGCCGCCTCCGGCAGCACGACGAGCAGGGCACGGGGTCGGAGGAGGAGGAGGAGGGACGGCAGGGGGTCGTTCGGGGGTATGGGCATGTCGAAGGAGCCGGATCCGCTAGCCGAGGTGCGTGTGGAGCATGGGGGCGGAATTTATGTCGTTGGTGTTGTTGCGAGGGCTTTTGTCTGCTGGTGATAATGGTATTGTTGTTGTTGTTGTTGTTGTTGTTGTTGTTGTTGTTGTTGTTGTTGTTGTTGTTGTTGCTGTTGGTGCTGTTGTTGCTGTAGTCATTGATGCCGACGTGGAGGTG